TTGCACAGTACGTTTGAGATCAGTGATCTCGAACTTACCCTTAGTTTATCTTTACAAGTCCTATTCAATGATCAATGTAATTCCTACATTTCTTTTAACCTATATATAGACTTGCAAGTTTGTATGATAGTACATGGTATGAAGTTCACTACAAAAAATTTGTTATTATACCCCATTCTTTCTTCATTTATAATAGAATTAAATTTGTTTTTATTTTTTCTTTTTACCTTTTTTTTTTCAAAGATGTGATTAAAATTTTTATTATAATTCATAAAATTATAAAATTTTGATTTATTTTATTATAATAATTCTCTATAATTTATTTAATTAAATAAAAAATACAAACTTCCCCTCCTTTCTCATTCTTTTATTTTTATCTATCTAAACAAAGTTTAACACTAATCCTTCTCTCCCTCTCCTTCTCTCCTTACCTCCCTCCCTTAATGATTATGGGTAAGGAATAGACTTTTTTTTTTTTTAAGGAACAGTCATTTTAAAAGTTTGTTAAATTTGAAAGAATTGGATGAGAGTGGAGGTAAGAATATTTCATCCAATCAAATTGAAATTTTCATTGGACAAAATATTATGCTCTTCCATCCCCTCATTTATATCAAACTACATGAGCTTTAATTTATTTCCTTAAAGGAGTGTTTGGTTTACTAGTTTAAATAATGGATTGCAAATAATCAATATTTAATAACTAATAATTATTAAATTTTATAATCCAAATGTTATTATTTATTCAATTAATTAAAACCACTAGTTGTTAACTTTGAATCGTTATACCAAATAGCCTAATACCTCCTAAATATAACTCATGGGTTGCCCATAGGTTGAGAAGAGTGTTGGACAAGGTAACTCAACCCAAACCCACTACAAACTTTTCTTGAGCTAGCTCTAGATTAAAATTCAGAATTAGATCCACTGCTAATTCAAGTTTCAAAAATGATGGCTCCTTTCGTTATAGTTGTACCATAGAGTTCGCATGTTTCACTCTCCCATTTTGCCAAAAATGAAGCTCGTTAGGTATACACTTTTCTCTCTCTTTTTTTTTTTTTTTCAAATTTTTCTTAGGCTTATTAAAATAATGTAAAAATTGACATGTATATATATGAATAAAATTCTTAATTTAATAACTGATTTTTAAAATTTTAATTAAAAAATAAATTTTTAGATATGTTTTTAAAAAAATTAAAGGTCCTTGCACAAAGGGCCTAAGCACCCCTTTGCTTCTATTCACCTCAGCATAAAGCAAACGTCAAACCCTTAAAGTAGGAGTTTGAATCCGTATAGCTTTCCACTCCTTGCTCAGTAATTCTTCGAGAGGGAGACTTTCTGGAACCCTCAACAATATACCGTTCCTAATTATGGATTGTATTGCTCCACCAATCTCCTCCAGCAGAAGCTCACAACGACATTCAATATTCGTGGACAACCTGGCAACATTCTGTAAAAATTCTGTAAAAATTTTAATTTTAACTAGGCGATCATCTTCTACACGGCTCGCAATCCTATAAACATAACAAAAATCAAGTAACCTTTCACAGTCAACCCGATACTAAATAGTCTCACCAAATGATAATTCCACTCTACCCACCCTTCTCAATGGCCGCCTAACATTAACCACAGCTCTAACTCTCAAAGCGGGGGCACAAAGCATATTATTTTCATCCAAGTCAATATGTAAAACAGTACAAATAGACTCCCCCATAGATTTTGCCCATTTACTAATCAAACCCACCTCAAGATCTAAAATCTTGAATCCAAAATAGGCACTTAGGCAAATCCAGCTCAACAATAACCTTATGCTTATCATATACTCCGTTAGAATAACAAGGCTTTTATCATTAAATGCCTATAGAGCCTAAACCAACACCCAGTCCGCTTCCCCTTCATCCATAGAAACAAATACAAAGACGTTATCACCAAGGGATGCGCAAACTTGCAAATCCTTACTGACCCTCCAAAGCTTAGTTTTGTGAGGCTATAAACGAATAATATTCGTACGTCTTCGAGAAAAGACTTTGCCTACTCAAAAGAAAAATGCAACCCACCATCCCTGACTTACCTTCCACCGAACTCAAGGCCTTGATAAGCCCATGCTCTTCTTCCTTCAGGATGAGCTTGGACCAAAGGGCTTCGATCTCCTTAGCAATGTCACCATCCACAGACACCACCCACTCCAAACATTAGTTGTCACTCAGCCGACCACAGGCAAACCTCCGCCAACAACCTTCATCTCCGACGAACCCCAGCACACATACCGCTTGCTGGCCGAGCCCATTAACAACAAAAGCCCATAGACTCCCCACCTCGCACAGCCCCCAACAACTAAAGGAGTATTCCATAGAATAACACTAAATTAGCCTTCCCTCCAATCTGCCTATTCTTAATCACCCACCCTCCCTAAGAAGCCATGAAGAGAACAAGATGAGAAATCTTGATAAAACCTCTCTGCGTGAGCAATACACAAGACTAAATTGAAATGACTTGTGCTAAAGTCTTCTGCTCTAAGCTTCATCAACTTTCAAAAATTTAAGTTCAAATTGTTTATAATAACTGGTCATTTATATATTAAACTTACTCACATTTTCTCTTAATATGAGATTTGAGTGTTATAATTTTCCCTATTAAAGTGTTATAATCTTTCCTACTTAAACACTTTGATACTAACTAAAACAATTCAAGTCAAGTCACATGCCCTCAAAAACTAATTAATTAAAATTGTTAATAATAATTAGTCATTTACACATTAGACTCACTCATATTTTCTTTTTATGTAAGATTCTCGTATAGAATTAGAGGCATCACACAAACTCCCGGGACATATAGAACTTAACCACTAGTGAGAAATAATAACTCTATAAGGTCTTGACTTGACTTTAAAGATTAATTATTCAAATTTCTACACTAACTTTATAAATCTCTCTTTTTTTTTCTTTTTTTCTTTTTTTTTTTTTTTGAAAGAGGATAAAATTTCCCCTTTTTACAATCACAAAAGGAAAGGACAACGATTTTACAATTCGATCTCAAAGCCACCCATCCACTAAGGTAAATAGATAACTAGTCAGTTGCCCCATAGTTTAATGTTAACTTTATTTGGTTAACATTAATTTTGCTTCTCATTTCTTTTTTAATAGATTACAATTTTAAGAATGAGGGATTCAAAATCTAATTTTTGAGTTGGAGGTATATTTATCACATGATTTATAACCATCGGGTCAAACATCGGGTCAAACATCGGGTCAAGAAGGTTAAGTACTAACTTTACTTCTCAACTTAAGAAACCCACGATATCACTTTTTTAATGATAACACCTTTCCTAGTAACACTTTTTGAGAGGCAGTAAATACTTCCATTTTAAAAATCAATGGCCCTGCGGCAATACCTTAAAAAGAAAGACATTCAGTTAGGCTCCTCGTCATAAAGTTTTTTACCTTTTTGGGAATATACGGATTAAAAGGTTAATTATTATTGTAATTATTTTATATTTTTTCTGTTTTAATTTAGTTCTCATATTTTTTTTCTATTATATTTATTTAAAAAATTTATCAAATTCTATTAAAATACAATTAATAAAAGGATCGAGAGTAATTATTAAATTTGTTAAAGGAATTATCATAAATTGTAATAGGGGTGAAGTTGGAAAGAGAGCTTTTAATGTTTTATTAAAAATAAAAATTAATAACTAGATTGAAATACCTTTTTCAAGAAGTGTGAGAACAAAAATGTGAAGGGGCGTAAGTACTTTTATAGAATTGGTTTTTGTAAGATGTAGTTTTAATCAAAAGTATACATTAAGCATGTAATTAATATATTTTTAATTATTAAGTTATATGAGAAAAAAAAGTTGATTTTGATTTTAGTATCAATGTTATATGTATTATTTTAATTAGCTAATTAATAAAAGGGTTTCTCTAACCTATATCCAAGAGTGTATTAAATATATCTTTTTGCATAAATTTGTATTGAAAAAATAAAAATCAACTTTTAATTTATCAACTGTCTAATTAAATTTACTTAACACTAAAATTAATGTTAACTTTTACATTTTTTTATATACATTTAACAAAAAAAGCTACTATTAACTTGTATACTTAGGGCAAAGATTAGAAAAATCCTTAATAAAATTAAAGTTAATTTTTATTTTTTTTATAAAACTTGATAGTTAAAAAATGCATTAATTATGCAGTGTAAAAAAACCCTTATCTAATCTATTCTTAATTGTTGAAGTTATTGAGGTGTATTGCTAAACTAACCTTAACCTAACCATAATTATTGAATTTATTAGTAAAAAAATAATTTTTTATACATTAAATTTAAGATTTAAATCTTAAAATTACCATTTGAAATTATTTTATTTTTCTGAGTACACCGCTAAGCAAGAATTCACCTTCAAAATCTCTCATAAAAGAATTAATTTTAAATTGCACAAAAATAAATAAAAAGATACCTCTATAATTCTAAAGAAAAAAAGTGACCTTAAGCATAAGATGAATTTATTTGGCTGACCAAACTTGATACGCCCCACCTCATAATGTAATATAATTAATTAAGTTATAATTTATTTTTTAAGGTATGCTCTTAGTTAAGGGTATATTAATTATATATATTTCATTATTTATTAAAAAAATAAAATAAACTTTAATTCTAATAACTACATAATTAAAATCTTATACATATTATTAACATTAAAAATAAAATAAATTTTTATGTTTTTTTATATAAATTAATAAAAATAGTATAATTAAATTAGACAAACCTAATTACTAATGATATTACGTTTGTTTTTTCTGCACCCTAGAGGTGTAGAATCTAGATCCAAGGAGGATTTCTTTTTCTATGCGCGCCCTGCCTTTGGAAAAAGGTAAACTCAGCTTCTGCAATAATCTGTGAAAAAAGCCAGCTTGCTTTCCCTCCTAGACATAATAAGCACGGAGGCAGAACACAACCTCTCACACTTCTCTTTCTCTATATATAGAATAATTCGAGGGCAATCTCTTTGGTTCCCATAGGACTCTCAGAATTCTTGATGACCCTTTTCTCCTTTCCTCTTCAATCAAAATTTTGAGAGCATATTAGTTGGAATATATAATTATAAAAACCTTTCTATCCATGGCTGCAGGCTTTTGGCTTCTTGTTTTGGTTGCTGTTGTTGGTTTTTTGATGGCCCTTGTCCTGAACCATTTCTTGCCCTTGTTCTTGAAGTATGGCCTTGCGCTAAAAGGAACATTTGGGTGGCCTATTATTGGAGAAACACTTGGTTTTTTACAGCCTCACTCTTCCAATTCTATTGGCACATTTCTTCAAGAACATTGCTCTAGGTATGTACCCTGCCATTGATCTTGATGTTGATTTTTCTTCAAGATTAAGTTTTTGTCAGCTTTATATATCTATGGATGATTATAACTGTTGATTATATGAAAAGAGGAGTGAAAATAGAAACATTGTTCATGAAATTTTCAGGTATGGAAAAGTGTTCAAGACACATTTGTTCTTTTGTCCCACTGTGGTGTCCTGTGACCAGGAGCTTAACTACTTCATACTTCAGAATGAGGGCAAGTTTTTCCAGTGCAGCTATCCGAAGCCTATCCATGGTATTCTTGGCAATTTATCTATGCTGGTTGCAGTGGGAGAAACTCACAAAAGACTCAGAAATGTGGCCCTTTCTCTAGTCAGCATCACCAAATCAAAGCCCGAGTTTCTCCAAGACATAGAGAGAATTGCCGTTCAAATTCTGGGTTCATGGAAAGGCAAACCAAAAGTCATCTTCCGTGGAGAGGCCAGAAAGGTACATTAATTCAATAAAGAACAAGAAAAGAAAGAAATCCCACTAGATTTCGCAAATAAGATCCCTTGATCAATTCTCTTTTCAGAAAATCACTGATGATTTGCTAAAGAATTCATTAAAAAGTCTAATGCAAAGCCCCTTTTTTTTTTCTTCTCTTTTTGGTTTAACTTTCTCGTTCCACAGTTTACATTCAATGTAATAGTAAAGCTGGTTTTAGGGTTGACACCAGAGGACCCAGAGACAGCCAAAATTCTAGAAGACTTTCTCACTTTCATGAGAGGATTGATATCTCTCCCAATTTGTATCCCAGGAACTGCATATGCAAGAGCTGTTCAGGTACCCCAAGACCCCGTTTTTGCCCTCCCTTTACTGTTCACTATGTTCAAAAGTAATTTGGTTTAAAATTTTAGTAATGCACAATAATTATGTGGTTTACTTAATCATGTTGGCACCTTTTTCTTTGACTCTCTTTACAGGCTAGAAGCAGAATATCTTCTACTGTCAAAGCAATTCTAGAGGAAAGAAGAAGAAATAATGTTGGTGATAGCCCCAGGAAAAGGAGTGATTTCCTTGAGATACTCTTATCTGTTGACGCCTTATCTGAAGATGAAAAAGTGAGTTTTGTTTTGGATTCTCTGTTGGGTGGCTATGAAACTACTTCTCTCTTAATGGCCACCGTGGTGCATTTTCTTAGCCACACACCCCCTGCATTAGATCAATTAAAGGTACCCACAAACCTTTTAAATCCTTAGCAAACATCAAATGCAACAGTCAAACTTACTAATTTTTCTACTTCTTTTGAAATATATTTAGCAAGAGCATCAGAAAGTAAGAAGCATGAAGCAGAAAGATGAGAAGTTGAACTGGGAAGATTATAAGAGAATGGACTTTACTCAAAATGTAAGCAAATTAATCTCTGAGAAAGTAAAAAGCATGAAGCAGAAGGGAGAAAAATGTCTTTTAGAGCCCAGGCAAGCAATTTTGTTACCAGTCGGGACTGAAAATATCAAACTCTTGAACTGAAAACTCAGGTTCAATGGTTCACCCTAAATTTTAAGCTGCTTGAGTTTATTGGTCGGAGTTTTGACTCCTACCAGCACTTTGGAAAAAACCCCTCTATCAAATTATAGACTATTCAAAAAAAAAAAAAAAATCAAACTCTTATCATATTGAGTCCCCTCTTTTGCAATATGAACTAAAACCCCAAAATAGGAATGATTAGATGGAGTATATTAGGGTAGATTGCTTATCTAATAATCTCTATTGTACAATCCATACTATTCTCCTCGATTTCACAACAGTTTTTGGTACTAGATTACCCTTTTTTTTTTTTTCCTTTCTTTTTAAGTTTAATCATGGATATGTATATACTTCTTTGTTTTTTTTCCCTTGAAGGTGATCAATGAAGCTCTGAGATATGGGAACATTGTCAAATTTGTGCACAGAAAGGCTCTCAAAGATGTCAAATTCAAAGGTTTACACTTTATACAGGAAATTGAATATATTTTATATGCTTCTGAAATGACATAATGGTGCTTGCATTAGCTATTGTCCATACAAACATACATACATACATGAGAATAAGAAATGATTTTCTCTCTGCGTTTGTGATGGTTTCAGGTTACCTAATTCCTTCAGGCTGGAAGGTACTACCTGTCTTCAGTGCAGTCCATCTGGACCCATCCCTCCATGCGAATTCCCTCCAGTTCCATCCTTGGAGATGGGAGGTAATTTGTTAGACTAATCTTTTTAGAGGCCTGCCTTGGGCCATTGGACCTTAAGTCATGGATCAAGAGAGCCTTTTCTTTTTCCTTTATTGAAGCCTTGTTAGCATTTTTTTTGAAAAAACACCTTAAAAAGATAGGCCTTCTTCCCTTGGAAAATCACATTGAGAGAATGGAAAGCCGTATTGAAAAGGTCCCATACTGTATTTCATGTAGGGGAATAAACTGATACTAATTTGAGTTCTGATTTAATTCTTCAAGTGAATTTAATATAGATGTTAAGAGGTATTTTAGTGCATGATTTTGTTCATGAACACACAACCTCATCCATAAGAATTTTTTCTTTTTAGTACATCAAAAGTTAGCACTTGACTTGGTAGAACTCTTAAATTTGTCTCTTAAATAGAAGTGTAGAGACAAATTCACCCTTAGAAAAAAAAGATAGGGACAATTTGTTATTTCAAATTATTAATTAAAACAAATTATACATTATTTATTGATTGACGTTATTATACGTGAGACATCCGGTTACAACCTAAGTATTTTTTAATGAAAAACTAATGTGCCATTACGTCACATGTTAAATAATTGATAATTTATCTTGATTGATAATTTGTTTTTATTTTTATTTTTTTTAAGGATAAATCTATTCCTATCCTCTTATTTGAGGGGAGGATTTTGGAGTTTTGCTGCTCGGCATTGCAAGCGTTCGACCCAAAATCAAAGTCTTGAAGTTGGTGGGTACAGCTAAACTAAGTTCTTGTTGGTTTTTTAAAGAGAGATGTTATAGTTATTTCTATGCATGATAGTATTTATTGGGAGAATGAGCATCACTATAAACAATAGCATGTAGATTGTAGATAACCAAAATGTAAAAGAAGATACTAATAATTTGATATTCACATATATAATCCAGATGCTCGTCAAAAGGAAATTCTAGTGCTATGCTGGGCCATCCATGTAGAAATTTCAATTCCTTCGTACCATTTTGTGTTGAAATTTTTTGGTGGGGGACCAGATAAATATATAGTACAATGTCATGACTTTTCATCTCAAGTTAGAATTTCTTCTGCCTTTCCATTTTGTACCTCGTGACTGTCAAGAAAAGATGGCAGAGTACCAGAAAGTTCAGAAACCTACCATATCTTACAGTAGATCCTTTGTATTAAATAAAATTTAGCTTGCTGAAGTACTTGCAACTTGGTCTGTCTTTGCTCTACTCAATTTTTTTCTTCCTTTTTTTTCCCCTTTTTGTTTTTGGTTTGACATGCCTTTTTATAATTAAAAAGAAGGATCTCTAAGGGATTTCCTTTGTGTGATCCAGAGCCAAGATCAGACATTATGCAAGAAATATACACCCTTTGGAGGGGGACCCAGATGCTGTCCAGGATCTGAACTGGCTAAGGTTGAGGTTGCTTTCTTCCTCCATCACCTTGTGCAAAATTTCAGGTAATTAATTTCTCATAATCATTTCAGATTATACAAATAAAACGGATATTAGTATACTAATTGTGTTTGGTAATTTCCACAAAAAACAAATCTGTAATATTACATGTCTCACTTTTATGACACGCAATATGTAGGACTAATAGGCAATATTTGTTCGGATGTAGCAAATCCTCTGCGAAAACAGCCTTACCCTGATTAAATGTACAATTGATATTGGGATAGGAAGAATTCGATTCCATCTTTTAAGGATGAGGAACATGCACCTTAGTGAGTGAGCTACAAGCTTAGCTACTTGGTGCACTTTTATGTCAATTTTAGACACAGGAGAAAAGGGTCATTTTCCAAATTGTTTTTTAAATGCATTTGGTACTGAAAATAGAGGCTGTGTTTCAAAACTTGCAGATGGAGAAGTGAAGCAGATGACCAACCAATGGCATATCCATGTGTGGAATTCCAAAGAGGGTTAGTGCTAAACTTGGAGCCATGTTCTTCAAATCCTTTGCAGCCTTTTCAAAGTGGGGAATGAAGGATGATAATAGCACCATGGAAAAATTATGCTTGGCTATCATTTTCGGTCTTCTTTTTTTCCCTTTTTTTCCAATGCCAATGGATTACATTAAGTTGTAACATATGTAGTCTTCCTCCCTGTATATAATTACATAATGTACTCAACCTTCCTATGTTACTATTTCTTTGCTTTTACCATTTTCGAGCTAAGCCTAAGTGTCAGCAAAAGTTCATTTCTTGAAATTTCTCTTATGACCAATTATGTTTTATGGACTCGAAATCAACTGTTCAACATCGGCATGCAGACATTGACACTATATTTCATCTGTTTCTCTTCTACTTTTAAAAATTCAAGTGCTAACTTTTACAGATATTTTTAGTATTCGATGCGTTTCTAACACTGATTTATTAGGACACAATGAAGTCATCCCTTCAACATTGAACTTGGTCGGGTGGATCACAGCTTGAAGCCATCAGAAAAACAACCCAGGTAATTAGAAAATGAGTTCACAGCTGCAGAGAAAGGAGTGCAGTTCTAGAAATTTTCCAGTACCTTGACCATGTAAGGTTCAAATCAATAACTGTCCCCATTAGAGATACCTTGAAAAAGAATTTGAAGATCAAACTCAATAGATGTCATTCCATTTGCCAACAGTTCATGTTTAGGCAACATATAATAATAAAAACAGCAGTACTCAGAAGGATAACTATAGATATTAAAGGCAATGCTGAAGCCACTAGGAAATGGTCAAATGATTAAATGCGGTGATTTAAAACTCTATGAAGAACAGAAGCAAATCTTCTAGTATTTAAGCCTGGCTTTCTTTTGATAGGTTATAAATTTGGGAGGGGAACTGAACCCGGTCTTGGAACTGGGAAAGCTGCACCTGCCATGGGGCCAGGAGACCAGAAGCTTAGGATGCCTTGACTACTATGGGACTCCTTACATGGTGTTGATTATCTGACCATTCCAGCTTCCCAAATACATAATCCTTGGCTGCACCAGTTTCCTTGATCTTTAGAGTGACACTGAAGGTTTTCTCTTCACCAACCTTCTTGAACTTTAACCTTTTTGGCTTAACAAAAACTGAAACTCCAGTTGGTTGGTTGACATAAGCTGTGTAGGTACCTGGTGAACCAACGTTTTTAACTGTTCGGGTTACTGTGATTGAATCAGAAAGGTTAGAAACTGTGATTGAAGGGTAGTTGAAGTTGGCAAGACTAATTGGTTTGGGACATTTGTAGGGTTTCTCTGAAAATAATAAAACTTGGGTTTCCTTGTAACCCAAGGCACATAGGAAGTTTAGGTAATCATTTTCTAATAGGTCATAAACAAGTCCAGGATTCATAGCAAGGTTTGGTAGTATGTGCCCTGCTCCATAGCTGAATGGTGTTGCCTCCACATTTGATGCATTCAGAATTCTCTCCTTAAGGTTATCCATTGTAGTTGCTGCAACATTTACAAAAGCAAATACGGTTCAGTCCATTCTATGACAGTTCGACATGAGATTCTAACCTAGAAAAAAATCAGTAAGTGTTGATTCTGGAACTTTCAATTTCTTACCAGTGGTCATGATGGCTGATTTAATTGCAGAAGGACTCCAATGAGGATAGAGGGTCTTCAGGAGACCAGCAATGCCTGAAACATGAGGACAGGACATCGAAGTGCCTGAAACAGAGTTGAATTGAACACGGCGCTTGTCAAAATCTTGATTTGTTGGCCCTACCAGTCCTGTATAGGCTGCTATGACACTAACTCCAGGTGCAGTGATATCAGGCTGAAGAACACATAATACTACATATTAGCTTCCAACCCAAGATGCTAAAGTAATTGCTATTTTATGCAGACTCTTCACCTTTACCATGATGAATTTGTTATATATGTAAACACGTAATACAAAGATTCTTGAAATAAGGAAGAAAACAAATGAAAACATTTTGAGTATCTATATCAAAGGCATACATTGAGTCCATATAACATAGGATAATTGATTGCGGAGCAAAAATATGCTACTAGAAAAGCAAATACCTTGAGGATGTCAGGGACGATGATGTTGGGGCCCTTGGATGAAAATGCTGCCATGAAAGGTGCTGGTTTTGTCCCAACAAGGGTGGTTGCTGGTGTAATGTAACCAACAGGAGATCTAATTACAGATGTTAATGAGCAACAGATTGATGAGCTTTCTAAAACTTTCATTTTGATTCATTTATATAATATTCTTACTTGGTTGAATTGATGTAAGAGAACACAGCCGTGCCAGCAGTGTAGTTAATGTGTGACGCAGGGAGGACATGTGCATCAGCGGTAATTTCATTTCCAGTCAACTCATTATTGGCAAGAATCATGCCAACTGCACCAGCAAGAGCAGCCTGCTGGCCCTTGTCCACCCTTGCATTCACACCTCGGAGACACACCAATATCTTTCCCTTAACCTTGCTTGGATCAAGAGTTTCCGCCTGACACAGCAATCTACATCACATCCATCATACATATTAGCATTTCTTTGCTAAAAAGATTTGTCCAAGAGCACTAGTAATTTAGTATGATGTGCGGGGAAATTGCTGTATGTTCTTACGCATCTTGCACTGATGCATTAGGTGCTTTAGCATCTGCAGCACTAATAAGGGAGACGAACTTTTCCGGTAAAGTTTTCGTCGATAAACTTGATCCCTTCAGTAACAGAATAAGCATTGTTAATCTCCAGAGCAGAAAGACATTCTCTTGTTCAAAAATGTTTTTTACAGTCAGCCTTGCATGGCTGCACCTAAAATCATCTGAGGTTGAAAATTAAGACAAATACACTTAGCAAATCAGGGATATAAGAAGATTCATTAACGGTATTTTTGACATTTCCTATTCGTTTTTAACTGCAAGATACAATAATCCCCCATTTAATATGGATACGCGCTTTGATTTTCAAAATTTAAACAATTAAATATCAAAATTAAAAATTAAAATAGAATATATTGAGTGTAAATATTTTTAACTAATACACAAGACTTCAAACTTAAAACTTATAAAATTTCTAAATTTTTGAAAATTAAAACTCAAAATAACTTTACTAGGTAGAGTTTTAAAAAAATCATTATTTTTAAGACAGAAAAATAATAAATTACTAATTTTGTAATTTGATATAGTCTCGGAGAGAAAAAAATATAAATAAAAGTGTTAATTTTTTATTTTTTATATAAAAATATTAATTTTGTTAATTTTTAAATAAAAATATTAATTTTTAATTTTTTTATTTAAAAATATTAATTTTTAACATTTTAATTAAAAATTTTAATTGCTATATCAATATTATTATCAATTAATTTTTAAATAAAATAAAAAATAAAAATTAATATTTTAAATAAAAAAATTATATATTAACATCTTTATTTGAAAAGGATAAAATTAATACTTTTAAATAAAGAAAAAATGAGAAGTTGAGTTTAGGGCTCTGTGGGGTACGGTAGAACAAATTTTTAAAACAATAATACTTTACATAAAGAGGCAAACCTTGAAACGCATTTTGTTGCCAAGAACAACGTAGCTAGGAAATTCCCTGTCCATGGTACTGGCTCCGACTGTAATCTGCCATGGCGCCAGGTTGGAGGCAGTGGCATCAGCCGGACCCGAATTTCCGGCCGAGCAAACCACCACTATCCCGCGCTTAACAGCATGGAAAGACCCAATTGCAATGCTGTCGTTGAAGAAACCTACCGGTTCCCCTCCCAGCGACAAGGACAGCACATCGACACCGTCATGAATAGCGGAATCGAAGGCCGCCATTACATCTGCATCGAAGCATTCGTTTCCTGCAATGGGAGGCCAGCATACCTTGTAGGCAGCTACTCGAGCCCTTGGCGAACCCCCTTTGGCGGTTCCTTCGCCAAAGCCAAAAACACTGGCGTTGGCGACGAAATTACCGCCGGCAGTAGAGAGGGTGTGGCTGCCGTGGCCTTCGTTGTCCCTTGGCGTGTCGAAAGAGGAGTTAAGCTTGCCGGCGGCAGCTGCATAACCTTTGTTGAAGTACCTTGCTCCGATCAGCTTCCTTCAACAGTAACAAACACACGGTTTTACGATTTCAGCCTGAGCACTGACAGCCAATTTGGTGTTTTTTTATTTTTATTTTTTTATTTTTTCTTTTGGTTTCTCGCCCGGTATCGAAGCTTCGCCCTGATTAATCCGGATTTGACCTGCATCGCGCACCTGGAAATGATAGGTGAGTCTCCCAGCGAGAGCTGCCGCATTCACAAGGTCTCGAACTCGAAATCTTACTTAAATTGGAACAAACGCTTACCACTTGATCCAATCCCTCGTTGGTTTTTTTTTTCTTTTTGGTTTTTTTTTTTTTTGAGAACGCCTATTTGGTATTTTAGATAGAAGATGGTACAGAAAGAGAAATGAAGAATAACAACACTTAACACAAATTTTTAAGAAGAATTTATAGTAATGAGTTAAAAAAAAAAAAGGAATAATTTATAGTAATTATTAATGATTTGGGAATTATATAGACCTATATAAATAAACATGGAAATATTTTCAATACAAAACTTCTTAAAATTTGGCAGATAAATAGTGAAAAAATGTGTAAACGGATTATAATTTCATATTTTTTATTTAAGAATATTAATTCTATTAGTTTTTAAATAAAAATGTTAAATTTTTAATTTTTTATTTAAATATATTAATTTTTAATCTTTTTTAAAAGTGTCAACTTT